TACAGCCCCTCGTTTGTTGTCCTCTTCTCTCTCTCTGCCTACGGTTTACCGGGCAGTTCTGTTTGTGACGATATATATATCGTCAAATAGAAATATATATATATATCGAAAGTAGGTGTTACATGCTGCGCCTGCAACAGGCTGCACGGGCCCCTTTCAGGCCCGTGACGTTTTCAGGCCAAAAGCCTGGAAACAAGGGCCTACAGGCCCGGTGTCGTTTCAGCCTGAAAAACTGAAAACAAGGGACTACAGGCCCTGTGTCGTTTCAGGCTAAATCAGGGCCTTTCCGGCCCTGAGTGTTTTCAGCCTGAATCTGAGGGCCATTTTCAGGCCTTCATCAGTTTGACCCGCCCTGAAACTCAGGCAACAAACCAGGGGTTTAGCACAGGCCATTTCGGGCCTGTTTTCAAGACAAGCCCTGGTTGAGCTTCAACGCCAGGGTCTGGCACGTTTCGGCATTGGCAAGAGCAGCCTCCTGGACGGGCCAGCACTATATAGGACTGGCCCGCCCTGCAGGCCGGCAGGTAGTTCCTAGGTACTTCCCAGGCACTTCACGTGCAGTTCAGGAGGCAGGAGGTAGTCTTCAGGATTCGGCAGCAGCACTGTGGAGGAGCGCTGCAGGAGTAGCTGTAGCGCTAGCAGTAGTCTTCAGCGCTGGGCGCTAGTAGCATTAGCAGTAGTCTTCAGCGCTGGGCGCCATAGGAGCTAGAGTAGTGCTAGAGAGAGAGAGGTTGGGCGGAGGCCAGGGATACTTACCTGCAGCGCCATAGCTCCAACTTCGCCTTCGAGGTACCTGCAGCACAGCGCCATCGTCACAGGTTAGTACCTGGCATATGAGAGAGAGAGAGTTCTTCTTCTTCCTCTTCTCAGTCCACCATCTCCCTCTCACCCTCTCGCTACCTGACTTCACTGCATCAGCAGACTATAAGAGAAAGAGAGAGCTTGGTGACATTTGGATCCAGACTCGACATTTGGGCTTCAGACATTTTGACGAGGGATTATTCGGGACTTGTGACAAAGACTTGGTGTTGACGACATTCCCATCTCGTCCCCTCTTCTTCGTCTGTTCCCCTCCTCTTCGTCCGTGCATGATCAGGGCCTGGCGCCTTCTTCCTGTGTATAGTGTCAGGTCTCTTCACACCTTGTGATGAGAATGCTGTATGTTTGGTCTGCGTCGCAACATTGATTGGGCTAGTCATTGATATTCTAGCATTCTGCTACGCTATCTTGCACTACGTGATAGAGGTCAGTCTCGGTCAGGTCAGGACTTGTATCTAAGTCTTCCCTGCGCTATAAAGCACCATTTTTGTATGTATCAGAATGTACACTGCTAGTTGAGATTTCACTTGCACTGCATTGTCCATTCAGTCCTTTTTATCACATTGCGGATCCTCGGTTATTATGTACATCGCCCAACTGGGCATGTAACAGTAGGCCTCACGTGGATATTCAGGCCCACCTTCACTTAGGGCGGGCACGAGGTTGTTGGGGGCCGCAGCCCAGAACACTTTCATGTCTGATAAGGGCCCAGCAAGGGCTCATTCTTCGCAAATGGCTCTTTCCTTTCTGGGAAGGGGGAGTTTGTATGCACAAGTGGTAAAAACACTTAAAAAAAAAAAAAAAAAAAAACAATGGCTCCTTCCCTTTTTGTGTTAAAAAAAAGAAAAAAAAAACTTAAAAAAAGACATCACACCGGTTCCTATTCCACAGGAAAGTCAGAAAAAAATACCATATTAACTACTCATGCATGCTCCTCCCCATTCTGTTCCTTCGTCCCATTCTCTCTCTTTTTTTTTTTTTTTTTTTTTTCCCCCTCTTTCAATCAAACTTGCTTTGCCCCAATCTAATCCTGGGGAGCGTCCTTCGCCTTTAAAATTTAAATCTTGAACTTCAAAGTTTTTTTTTTTTAAATAACCTTGTGCTCCTCCAAATAGAATGGGGAAAAACAAAATGTAGTCATGCTTTGTGGAAATTTCACTCTGGCAGGACAACCCAATCGGTTTGCCTTCGGTCTCTGGCTCTTCTCGATTAATGTCCAAGCTTCTTTTTATCCATCTGCTGTCTCTTGGTAAAGGGTTTTACCTTTCTCTTCGAAAGAGCACTCACATCTGTATGTCTCTACCCACATGGCCTTGCCTATTTCCTGATATGTCCCTACAACTATATGTATGCTTCCACCCTGTTTTTCCCATTTGTCTGTTAGGCTATTTGTTTGTCTCTGTCTGTCTCTGTCTGTCTCTGTCTGTCTCTGTCTGTCTCTGTCCCTCCTCCTCCTCCTCCTCCTTCTCCTCCTCCTCACATTCCTCTGCACTTTGTTCCCTCACCTGCAACACAACCCTTTCTCCCCTACCCTCTGTTTCACCTCCTTCCTCCAATCTTTACGCACTCCCTCCACCGTCACCTCCCCTCATAATCTATCTACCTCCCTCCTCCCATCTTTACGCATTCCCTCCCACCGTCAACTCCCCCCATAATCTATCTCCCAGATCCTCCCTCCTTCTGTTCTCTGCCTGTGTGCTCTCCCACCTTTCCTCCTTCTCTCTCTGCCATCTCCCCCCTCCTTTTCTCCTCTGTCTGTTCGTATGCGTATTGCATATCCGAACTCGTCTCAGGTGGCCCAGCAACAACAAACTCTGCATCTGGAGGCTGTCCCGTTCTGGTTGGGATTACGAGCTTTGGCGAAGGATGCGCGTACCCAGGATTTCCGGGTGGCTATACGCGAGTCACAAAATTTGTGGAATGGATCGAGCAACAAACTGGTCGTTCATTCCGCACTCAGTATGCACTTGCCCCAACTTCAAAATGCGACATGTGCACTCCGGGGCAGAACTGCCAAGAGTCCCGGGACCAAATTCCTGTGCCTTTCAATGCCTCCCGGTGCTTCATTGAGGCGTACCTAGCCAGTGCTTTCAAGCTGGCGCTGAAGCCTTGTTCCTTGCGTGGTCCGGCCATGTCGGGTCCGCGAGGTCGGCCACACATGGGGCCGACAAATATGTCCGCGATCAACGTTGGGCTTACGCTGCCGCTGGAGGCCTTTTTCTCACCGGGAGCATTCGGAAAATTGGGATATCGACCGCAGGGAAAGGTGTACTTCATGAGATCGACAAAAGCCGGGGGCGCGCATGTTAAAATTGGAAATGTGACTGTATACAGTGCACTTGAAGATCCCGTGGAAGTCCGTGAGGGCTCCGTTCAAGGTGCCACGTGGCGATATCTATGGCCAGCAGACGATGGATACCCTAACAGAACATGCAGCAAGACTTACGTGTATGCAGCTGCCTTCATCAATCTTGAATCTGCTGACCGTGTTCCATTGGTGCAATTGTCTGTGAACACACAAGTCCTGTAGCTTCTGCATCCTGCATACATTGCTTAATGGTAACCCGAGGCCATATCCGTCCACCTAACCCCCTCCTCCCTCCCACTCTGTGATTGCTGCTTCGCTTGTCCCCTTTCCCATCTCTGTCCCTCCTGGTTTGTCAAGCTTTTTGGGGAAGAGAATCCCTCCACCTGCTTTTCTTGCAGTGAGAATACACCTTCTACTCTCCAAATCTCCATCCTCTCTCTCTCTCTCTCTCTCTCTCTCTCTCTCTCTCTCTCTCTCTCTCTCTCTCTCTCTCTCTCTCTCTCTCTCTC